TCCCAGGGAACAAGGGACAGGATGAAACAGCGTGAAACTATGCCGGGGGAGGTTTAGGTTGGATATTAGATGTTGGGAAGGTTCCGCGCAGGGAAGCAAGTGGCCGACTCAGTGTGGGTGATACAGCAGGCTCCAACTTTATTGTCCAACAGGCTCTTTCTTATACAGTGCATGACAAGCATACAACTATCAATCATTTATAATTGGCTAAGCTCTAAAGATAGCATTCAGGTACTCTCCCTACTTGCAGTTGCAGCTGTGAGATTCTTTCTTACTTTCTCAGGCTTGGCTGCATTCTTAGCTGTTTGTCTCAAACTTGTTTGTCTCACCCTCAAGGACAACTTGCCCCTACCACCTGCCAAGCTGAGTTACTCCCTATCTATATATAAGTTACAATCTCCAGAGCCTTGCTTGTACACTGCATTCCCAGGTGCGTTCCCAGGACTGTGTCCGTGTGTTCCCAGGGGACTGTGTCCTTGCTCTTTTTAGTCTTCCCCAGGTGTATTCCCAGGATTATATCCCCGCTCTCTTAGCCATTCTCCAACAATTAGAGAAAATTCCTCCTGGAAAGGGCTGTCCAGCCCTGGCACAGGTTGCCCAGGGCAGGGTTGGTATCACCATCCCTGGGGAGATTTAACATCCATGTGGATGTGGCACCTGGGCACATGGTTAGTGGTGGCCTTGGCAGTGCTGGGGAATGGTTGGACTTCATGGTCTTAGAGGGCTTTTCCAAGTTCAGCGATTGTGTGATTCTAATTAAGCACCATCTCCAGGGCCACACCCTGGCAGCACTCAGTAGCTGTCCAGTGGATAACTGAAGAGAGGGTGCAGAGGAATTCTTTGTGAGGAATCAGTTGGTAGCCTGGACTTCCTATAAATGATTTCAACCTTCATGGCACATGATGAAGTTACCATAGAGGAAATCAAGGAATAAACTGTATGTTGGCAACTGCATGGGAATGGCTGACAGGAATGATTTTTCTCCATCAAAAATGGTTTGTCCAGAATACCCTAGTGTAAGGCTGGATCAGTTCCACCTCACTCCTTCCCAAGGAGGACCTGTTCCAGCTGAGACAGCTTCCAGGATGGGCTTCCCAGCCAACTTGGCCTGTTACAGACCTTCCAGTCTGTGCTTACACATAACCTGGAGTTACTGGGGTGAGAGAACATGCTTAGACAGTTGCTGTATAGCAAGTGGTGCCTCACAGCTCGGGTGCCAGGAGCATTTCGGGGTGGATTATCAGGAGTTGTAGATGTTTTCTGAGGAAAGCAGGAGAGGTGGCTTGGGAGAGGCTGTCTGTCTGCCACCTCTGTGCCAAATGGAGTTGTGGGCCTGTCCAGGATCACTGGGAAGGTCTGAGAGCTTCCTCCACTTTGCACTGCTGTTAGAGAATGTCCAAAGGAGGGACACAAGGATGGGGAAGGGCCTAGAGGGCCATATGAGGAATGACTGAAGGAACTTGGCTTGTTCAGCCTGGGGAAGAGGAGTTTGAGGGGAAAATCATCAGGGTCTGCAGCTTCCTCATAAGGGGATTTGGAGGGGCAGCACCATCTCTGCTCTGTGACCAGTGACAGGACCTGAGGGAACAGCATGGAGCTGTGCCAGGGGAGGTTTAGGCTGAATAGTCTAGAAATCACCAGAGGCTGATTGGACACTGGAACAGCTCTCCAGGGCAGTGGTCATGGCGCCAAGCCTGACAGAGCTCAAGGAGTGTTTGGACAATGCTCTCAGGCACATGGTGGGATTTTTGGGGTGTTCTGTGTAGGGTCAGGAGTTGGACTGGATGATCCTTGTTGGGTCCCTTCCAACTCAGGATATTCTGTGATTCCATGACTCTCTTGGCCCTGCTCCTCAAGATGTTCAGTGTAGTGTCTGGAGAGCAGCTGGGAGCACTGAGGTGTGACAGTGTCCACTCTGTCAGGGAGCTCAGACCTCACACTGCAGACATCTGAGTGAGAGGGTGAAGAGAAGACTTTGCATCAGTGATTTTTTTATGTACTTTTGAAAAAGAAACCAGAATTGCAAAATGTCCTATTTCCCTGGAGATTTTGTTTCAGTGGATGCAGGTACTTGTTCCCTCCCTCAGTGTAATGACGTGGCTGTGGGCTGGGAGGGACACTCCTAAGGGGCTTCATGAATAAAAAGACTCAGAAATCTCTCTGTTTCAGATGAAAACATGAAGAGGAACCCTCCAGCAGATTGCTTTGAGAGCACGACCTGTGACTCAGAGGTACCAGGAAGACCAGGGGAGAGGTTTCCCAAAGATCCCCACCCTGGAGTGACATGGGACAGCCAGTGGCATCCAGAAATGATGGAAACAAACACCACCAGGAATGGGAACGGCCTTGGAGGTGACCCTCGGTATGACCGAGGGTTTGGTGAGCATTTGGATTTCTTTAGTGCTCAGGAAAAGCACATGGAAAAGAGGCCATGTGTGTACAAGTGTGAGAGAAACCCCACGCAGCAGGACCAGCCTCAGACTCCACAGGGCACCCGGGAAGGGGAGATGTTTCCAGGCCCTGCATGTGACAGGGTATTCCCTCTGCTGCACCCACAGCTGGGAGAGAAGGGATTGGGGCTGGGGACTGCTCCTGCCTCCTGTGAGGGACTGCAACCAGGGCCTCGCTCTGAGTGTGGACAGACCCCCCGTGGGCACAACCAGGATGGCCTGAATGGAGAGGAACCTGCTGAAAATGAGGAGAACTTCCCCATGGAAGTTGCCCCCCAACAGCAGAGCCAGGGCCGGGGCAAGTCCTACATTTGCAGTGACTGTGGGAAAAGCTTTGTTTGCCATTCGTGGCTTGTTAGGCACCAGATGACTCACACGGGAGAGAGGCCCTACAAGTGCTCCGAGTGTGACAAAAGCTACAGGAGGAAGGATTACCTCCTGAACCACCAGCGCCGGCACACGGGAGAGGGACTTTTCCAGTGTCCTCTCTGCAGGAAAAGATTTGTGCTCAGGAGGAGCCTCACAAAGCATCAAGAGAGTCACGTGCAGGACGCTCACCTGCCGCTGGCTGGGTGGCCCTGCACGGACATCAGGGGGTCTGTGATGCATTCCATGTAGCATTCCACATCCCTCACAGCCCCTCGGTGCCTCCTGGACCCCCCAGCTCTGTGAGGCAGGAGGAGGAGGCTGTGGAACAGCCATCCCAAGCCCCTCCCAGGCAAAGGGAGATGGTTGAGGGTTATTTTCCACATTGGAGCTGTTCACCAGTGCCTGTAGGTTTGGGGGAGGTGTTGGAGCTTGGAGGTACTGCTGGCTGTGAATCCATGTGGAAAAGAAACCACATGATCATGGAACAATTTTTTGATGCGTGTTACAAAGAAGAGTTACCTGAACAAAGGGAAAATACCTGGAATGTTATTCCACAGCTGCTGGGGTCTGGAGTCCTTGGACTGGGCTGGGAACAAGGGAGTTAAAGATTATTAATTGTGCACTAAATGAATGAAACAGTGTCAGGAAACAGGCACTTGGGTGAAATCCTTTGGGAAAGAAAGTGTTGCTCCTGTGGCTCTAAGAAGACCCTTCAGAGAGTGGCAACTAGACAGAAAGGTGCAGAG